GCTTTCTTTAAATTGAAGCCTTTGTTTAATTTTCTGGACAGCAATTTTTTAAACATAGATAAGATAAAATTGAATTTGAATTTATATTACGTAAGTCTCTTGAAATACAATACTTATATTATGTTTATTTTATTACTTGTATGGTTTGATATGCTTGCCCAAATTCACTGACAATCGCGTCAATAGATTTTGATGAATTTGCATGTTTAATAATAAAATCCAATATTCAGTCTAAAAAAATAACGAATTTGATTGGGTTAAATCGAATTCTATTCAAATAATTCAAAAAAAAAAAATGAACCTAAATGTTTTAAAGTTGAATCGCTTTGGAATGATGGTTACTTTACTTATACGCATTGAATACCCTTTATTACTACATATATAACAGGATATATTTTCAACAGAAGACTAAATAAATACTGGTATACAACGAGGTATACTATGATGGTCTTTTAACGAGAACAAATCATCTTAAACATAGTAGATGTCAATAAGGACCATAAGGTTATATTTTCATTTTGTATATGTATTTTTTATTTCATCATATTAAATTTTAACATAAGGAATCATTCTCCCTTTCAATACAACGGATAATAAAAAGTTAAAATTGAATCCAAGCATGTAATGCTAATTATTCTTAATTTGAAATGATTGTATTTTTCATTGTTAATTATTCTCAATTTTAATTTATTTTTAAATTTTAATTCTTTACATACTATTTAAGTATTTATATAAAATGATGGATATCTAGGACCTTGCTTTTACATAATTATCTTCAAAAATTTTAAAAAATCTTATTTCTTTAATTTATTATTGTTTATTTCATGTTATATAAACAAATTAATATATTGACCAACAAATCATCGATCTAAGTAAAATTTGACTCAATTCTTTTAAATAAAATTGTCGAACAAAACACAGTAAAAAAGAAAAGTTTTATTAAAAAAACAACCAACTAAAAGTTAATAGTTAAAAAAAACTAATGATGTCATTAGTGTAGAAGTATTCTAAAATATTTTAAAACCTGATCTGACGCCGCCCTTGTTTACCATTCATGTGGTAAACAAACTTTGTGCTTACGTTGGTTGCATAATAAGGGGGCTTGGCACTGTCAGTCACCCACCTCTCAACCTTAAGGTTGCTTTTAACATAATATAAAAAAGATTAGCGATTCTTAATTGAGAAAAAACCAACTTGCTTAGCAGATAATACAACACCAATAATCATAGATAATAGAGGTAAGGTGGGAAAACATTATTGGCAGGGCATTGTTTAATACATATAAATAATGAATGGTTGATAGCAACCATTAGGCAAAAACATTGGATCTTTTCTTAACCAGATGGTCCACAAGGAACGAACACTAAGTTTCCGAGAAACTTCCTTTCTTTTCCACGAAAGCTACATAAAGTTGATGAAGTCACAGGGAAAGTGAATCTAGTATTCATCGGTGAGATTTGCAGATGTCACATTTTGCTTTGTGACTGCCGTTGTGAATGGGAGTGTGTCACGCTCCACCCAAAATTAGCTTTTAATTGCCAACTGAGCTTTGATCAATGGTCTCCCAAAACTCCCCACATCACCAACCAACTATGTGGAAAGATTGCTTCCATTCAAGAGTCTCAAAGGCTAAATGGTCACTAACACCACCAATGATTTGTGTAATATATTACTAGTATATTAGGTGCACCTCACGTTTTGCATTAAAAAAAAATAACTTTATTTTGGAATTTGGAGGGATCCCTTTCTCTTGTAAGTATGGCTATTAAATTATAGCAGCCTCATGAAGACCAACATATGCTTCCAATTTCCTAGGACTAGTCTAGAGAAAATAATCCAAGGGATACATACCATGGCGTTGAATTTTATTTATTTTTTGAATGATTGATTTACTTAGAAGGCCCCCATCCATCAATTACATTTGTGGACTATAAACGCTTGCCCCATTTGTATGATCAGATAAGGAGTCACGGACTGTTAGAATGTCAATTCACATATTGCTGATTGATAGTAACAATAATTCATTGTTAAAAATACGAGACTAGGATAAAAATTGAGAGGAAAAAGTGGGAACAAAGTATATCCTTGCCGGTATCGTGGTTCTTTTCTAGCATAAGATTTCACGGTTGGCCATTCATGGATAATGGGTAATTTATTTTTCTCTTATCTGTTTTCGAAAATCAAGGAAAAACCATAGAGAAGGTGGGAGAATTCCATAATTGCAGGGATTTCCGCTGCATTAACCATTGTCTAATCAAGAGGGCCCTCATAATGAAAGAAAAAATAGTATATTAATGCAACAAAGAGGACTTTTCCCGGCTCTGGAAGGCCAGATTTAATTTTAAAATACTTTGTATCAAAATCACATGGTTTTGTTGCCTTCTATATTTCAGACTGAATCATTGCCACACTGTCATGCTGCACACTTTTATTTTTTATAATACATAATTCATAATTGATAAATTTGTCCTTTGAAAAAAAAAATGTCCCAAAATTTGTTGATACTAAAAATTAATTTAGTACTAAATTTTGGATTGACGATTTTAGACCAGTTCAATAATCACCCCCTTTAACAAATAAAAAATCCATTTGGTAATTGGTACTGTATACACTACTTTAAATATGTTTGTTTCCCATGAAGTCAACTAAAATCACATTCATTTCTACGTCCATCAAAGCAATTTGTAACTTGATTTTTGAGCAATTTGACGTGAATTCGAGAAAGGAAGTAGATTACCAAATGCTATTCAAACATACATATGCATATGGTTTATATCAGTTTACAATTACATTTTATCGAAAAATATATTTTTTAATGCAGAAAAAGTATAAACATATAAAAATAGTTATTTTGCTTTAATTTCAGTTCAACTGATTTTTTATTCAAACACATGCTATATTATACACCTAGACATTCACAAGAAAATCTAATTACATATTTTTTAAAATAATTTTTTTATTTATTGATTCCTTAACCAATCCCATAATACTAGCCACCACCATGTTTTCTTTTTTAAGTTAAAATATATTTTTAATTTTTATAGTTTCACTTACTTTACCTTTTAGTCCTTATAATTTAAAATAAATATTTTTAATTTTTATATTTTTATTTTTCAATCACTTTTAATCTTTATAGATTGAAATAGATCTTTTTTAATTCTTATATTTACAATCTTTTTAATTTCTATCATAAATATTTTTTTACATAACGTTATTTATTTTATATTGATGTAATAGATGGCTTCCTTTTTGTGAAAGTAAAAAAATAATGTTGTAACAATGAACGTTACAAATAAAGTTACAAAAAAAATATACAAAATATTGAAAGACTTAATTTATAATAATTTTAGTAAAATAAATTTGACATCATATATACAAAGTTGAATTAATAGCTTTGTCACATTAACACCGAAAGAAACATCATTAAAATAATTGGCGATGAGAAATAAAATAATTAAAAAATATAATATAGGGATGAAATTATTTATTAAAAATAATTTAAAAATAAACATAAAGACTAAAAATATTTATATTAAAAAATAAAATAAATGAAATTATAAAGACTTGAAAAAACATATTTTAATTTTGGCGCATTAAGAGATAAAAGAATTTACATTTTGTTTGTTTTTTGCAGGCTCGTTTGGGATGAAGAATGATTGGTTCAAGTTGGAAGCAGTAGCACGAGAAGTTCACATGGGTTGTGTCCAATGATAACCGAAGCATGTTGGAGTGACGAGGGAGGATGTGGACATGGTGCTACCATTCCTATTTCCCTTCTTTCTCATTCGTTAGGATCATTAGTCAAACACTCAAGAATCGAACATGTTTCTGTTGGCCAACCGACCCTTTCGTATTTTCGAACATGCAACTACTTTCACGCCAACCACACTCAATAATTTTATTCAAAAATATACTTTATCACGTAACTTACAAAAATAAACAAATAAATGGAGTGGGAAAAGATGGGACACACGCATAGGCTAAGAGCCCCACACGCTGCTATAACTTGTGAGTTCCCTTTCAAATATATGCAGTGCAGGGATAGAAAGAATGAGACAAAGGAGCTCATTTAAAGATTCTGAATGCAACCCACCAAACCAATTTGAAGTTCCCCATGTTGGATGCCCTTCTGCTTTTGCTTGTCTCCAACACCCAATCGCTAAGATAGATTTGGAGACAACCAAACACATTCAGATTCGATGAAGTAGGTTTTAGTCTTCTTTGAGGGAGTAACTCATTCAATTAACTCATTCAATTAAGAGTATATTTCGATTTCTGTTGAATGAATAAAATTCCAAAACGGAATTAAATTCAACTTTTATCGAAACACACGTTAAGTCATATATTTGTATCTTGAAAAATGTTAGAGATTAATAAAGAAAGAAAAAAAAAGAAAAGGAAAGTAAATATAGGTGTTTAAAAGTGGCCAAATTTGTGTCTCATCAAAGGGTTATTTTTTTTTTTTTCCGGGAAAAGGGGGTGAATTGTGAGTTTGGTAGATAATCCTCTTTCAAATTAGGGGAAACGATGGACACGGTTTTATCTCAAGTATTATCATGAGTGAATATATGAATTAGGAGGTTAGGACAAGGTCAATTCTTTATTTAACAATTGGAGTATTGGAGATGGGTTGATGCTTGGGGGTTGAGAAAGGTAACTTTCTTTAACCCGACAATTTTCACAATACAATTACATAACTCAGAAGAGTTGCAATTTTCAGATACCGACATATTAAAAGGATGGATAAAATAAAACACTCTTTATCTCTCAATCTTTCTCTACATATTAACTATTTATGGTTATATTTCTTGGGCTTTACCCATCCCATTCATCATTCAAGGCATCAATATATGCGGACGAAGACAAAGCAGAAGACATGCGTGAAAGAACCCCAATGAATTATAAACGAATAGAGTTGTTGGTTTAGCTTGGAAGTTAACACCAAGCAACTAATAATAATAAAAAAAAAAAACGAACCTTAAATGAAAGAAGAAAAAAAAAGAAGGGAAAACAAGTGGTGTGGATTGTATTTACATGTGAGAATTAACAATACAAGAGAAGGGAAGGAAAGAAAGAGAATTATCCTAAAATATGAAGAAAATGAAGAGAGCAAGTGTGGTGGAGCATGAGAAAAAACGAAGCATAATGAGAGAATATTCAACAAGAAAAGGCCAATCGTTGGGCCAAACGATCTCTAAGCATTCCATTATACAAAGCGAGCCTGTTAGGAGGGATGGGTGGTCCGTTGGAATTGGATGGCGTTTGGGGGTTGAAAGAATGGATTTTGGTCCTCAACTCATGAGCGTCTCTGCAGGACTCCACCACGTCCTCGGCGAAGTGGACCCGTTTCTTCTTCTTCTTCTTGCTCTTCTTCCCACCCGAGGATATGCAAGATCGCAGAACCGGAGGCCCCAGGGGGAATTCGCCTCCCTTCTGCAGTCGGAGAGCCAGCAGAATCACCGTGCCGGACACCGCCATGGCCGTCGCCACCGCCACCCCTTGCGCGCTTATCATTGAACTCATGCTCTTCCACTCTACTACACCTTTTTTTTCCTAATGCCCAATTTTATATACTAATGGCTAATGGCTAAGGAATGAGCCACCCACAATCAATATTATTAATATTAATAAAAAAATCAATTACAACATTGTTATTCTTTTATTTATATTAAATTTAACAAAGCAAAACGCCAATTCAAGTAGGTCTTCTTTAACTTTGAAAAAGAGACAGACCGGGGTATATTATTGCCTGCTACCTTCTTTTTTAATTTTCTTTTTCCTTTTCTTTTAACTGACGTATTCATTGTGTTGCATTGCGTATACATTATTTTTCTTCTAAAATTTACTTACTTTCGATCGAAATCATGTTCAAGGTTTTTACATAAACAATAAGTATAGTAGCACTATAGTGATTAAATAATTTATGAGAAAATTATTTAATATTATATTAAATTGAAATTATTATTTTTTTTTTTGACATTTTGTAAATGTTAAAATTGTGGTCTATGCAAGACAGAGTAAGTATTTAAAGTTACCGTAAAAAAAGTTGATCATAGTTATTATAGATTTGTTTCATGGAGGAGTTATTTTAATACTGTTGAGATTAAAACCTTGGTCATGATGTCTTTTGTATATCTCCTATCTTTGATTGTTCGAATGGATATTGAATACTTTATAATAATGAAAACGACAATTTAGAAATACAAAATTTGGTATTAGCTATTTAGATTCGGAATGTTTTTATCGGATAAATATGCTACACCAAATATATCCAAAGCATACGAGATATAAAGAAATAAATATATTATCATCTTATTTTTTGCGTTATATAAAATAGTAACATTGGAAGTATATATAAGCACTTGGCGATAGGTATCTAGTTTTCAACAGAATTTGGATAAAAATAAAAATTTTAAATTGTTAGTTAATTTAAAGCATAAATTAGATTCTTTTTTTATAAAAAAAAATTAGGTCATAATGACTTTTCTCCTTTTAAAAATGTTGGACTTGTGATAATTAATTTTCTTAAGTGATTGTCAAATAATATTGTTCCGGTATGCCTAAAAGTCTCACATGGCTTAAGAGTCGAGACTAAAGATAGTTTATAAACACCCTTCCTCTTTAATCTACCGAGACGCTTTTTAAAGGACAAAACTGTAACGGTCCAATGAGGCAAAGCGGACAATATCTCGGATGCGGTGACCCTAACTATGACAACGGACTTACAATAGGAATATTGGTGTTAGAAGGAGGGCCCAGGCCACTCTTGCCCCTTATCATCGACTGGGAGACTTACGGTAGGAATATTGGTGCTAGAAGGAGGGCCCAGGCCACTCTTGCCCCTTATCATCGACTGAGGGGTTTCTTGTTCCGGTATGTCTAAAAGTCTCACATAGTTTATAAACACTCTTCCTCCTTAACTCACTGAAACGCCTTTTAAAGGATAAAACTGTGACGACCCAACGAGTCAAAACGGACAATAACTCGAATACGGTGACAAATACATACTTTTAAGTTGAGAATATTTCATTGAAATTAGTCCTTGTTGAGTTTCATTTCACCCTGAAAACAATTTTTATGACGATGTCATGGTCGTGTAATGATTGATTTATTAGTAATAATATTTTATATAGGAACATTATATTATTTTACTTAAAGAAAACTTGTAAAATTAAGATATACTACTAGTACGTAATTATATTTTGATTTTGAAGAAGGAAGAGGAAAAGGATTTGGATGTGGTTTTACAACAAAATGATGTAATGCAAATTGCACAGAATCTGACGGCAATACCCAAATTAAAGGATGATACCATGAATCGGTGAATCTGTGAGAGGAAGGGGTGGGAACGAGATTGGTGTGGCGCGTGTACTGTACGCTCCACTTAATTGTCATGTATTTAACTTAAATTACTGCATGTACTAAGATGTAAATAATGTCTAGATTACATATACCTTTTTATGGTAACTTTAATTTAATTATTTAATTTTTATAAATTATAAAATGATAAATTTTCTAAATTATATAAATTTTTTTTTTTATCCATATAACTACTTATATGTGGTAGATGAAAATTATATAACCATTAAAATTGAACTAATGAATATGATCTTAAGTTTAAATAAGTATTAACTTTTAATAATAAAATGGAAGGGAAATGATGTTTATAATTTTTAAAACAGAAATATAGAGCTAAATAGGTTAGCGTCACTAGCGTCAATGTCATCATACCATGAAGAAAGAAAGAAAAAAAATATGAGACTGACTTTGTAGAATAAACGGAGCTTCTGTCATCCATGACGAAGTTTTATGCCTATAATAATCCAATTGTGCCCATAAGTGTTTTTCAAGCGATATTCAATGGGTTTATGCCATTTTTAAATGAACAAAATTTGTATATTATATTATAGACATCGTTAATTCTTAAATCAAAATCAACATGTCATTTTAATAATTTTGGTCAATATTATTCATCAAGCTAAAGATGACGATTATTAGGGTAAAATACTAAGTTTAATTGAAAAATATAATTACCAATAACATTTATAATATTATATTTAGTTTCTTAACTTATTAAATTAGCTCAAGAATACCCTTAGATTTCACCTCGTATAGATGTCTGAGTCAAAGACTAGACCTCATGAAAAGTTGAACACATGTATTTCACAACACTTGTTTGAAGAATTCTTTTTGGAGAAATGATAGTAATCAAAATGGAGAAATAAATGTATAGTGGAGAGAAAATAAAGAGAGAAAAGACAGAAAAATATTCGCAAAACTTTAATGATTTAATTATAGAGCAAAACAATCACGTGCAACTAATGGAAATTTTTTCTCTTTCATATAGAGAAAATAATAGGTAAAAATGCATTAAAATGACTATATTCATCTACCACCGGTTCATTTAACATTATTTATTTTTCAAAAATAGAATTTTCATTTAACATTAAATATTTTTATTTATGATTAAATAAGAGAAAAAATAATTATTCTTTATTCTTTTTTATTTTAATAATGAATTATTACTAGAAATAAAGAATTAGTGATCAAATTTAGTGAGTTTTTTCCATCACTAATTTTGGGCTCACAAAATTTTAGCAACGACAATTTTAACAAGTATATTTGATTTTTTTAAAACTAAATTTTAATTTTAAGTAATGAGAATTGAAAAAGACAAAAGAACTTTTTTTTTTTTTTGTAGTTTTTGATTTTGTTTGTTTTTTAAAATATAATAACAATAAAACTTGTTTGATTGACCAGTTTTTTAAAGTAGCTTTTGAAAATAATATGGATTGTTTAGTTTTTAAAATTTGAAATTTTACGAGATCTAAAATATTTTAGACTTAAATATAGTCCTTTGTATTTAGATTAAATTTATTTTTAATTTCTTAAATTTAAAATTGTTATTGTCTAGTTTTTAAAAATTTTATTTTAGTATCTCAAATCATCAATAACTAAATTTAATGTAATACTTTCATTAACATGAATATCAGTAGGTAGATTTTATGCGATAATATTTGACAAATTTTCTAACAAAATTTGGATATAAAGTGTTCTTACCGGGAATCCGAGGTAGGGATGATTCGCTGGGTAAGATCGGTGAGCCTCCTTCTCGGGTACGTTAGTGCTCCAAGATGGGGGTGGTACCTGCAAAAGAGACTCTGATGCTAAAGTTAGGGTTTACGTGAGTATATGTCTCGTATAAGTAATGCACGTACCTTAGTGTGAATTAGGGTTCTTCTGGGCCTTGGGCCCGAGATCTATTATGACCTATTTGAATGACGAGCTAACGTCACACAGCGCATGTCTGAGGTCGTCTTGCGCTGTGAGGCCGAGCTTGGAGCTCGACTTCGCAGTTCGGATAGTACACGAGCCCCCCGAGCTCCGAAGACCGTAGGTCGAGGAGTTAAGACCGAGCTCGTCAAGTGGCTGTGACCCTTCGCGTATGCTTATCTGTCAATATGCCATGTGTCATAACCGTCGCCTCGTTCTTGGAGACGTGTAGGCAGCGGGTTAATGGGAACTGACGGTTATGTAATGAGGCTGTGTTTGTCGTGATGGGCTCATTAAATGTGTCGCCAGTTTTGTTCCCTGGCTGACACGTGTTGTGGCAATTTGAATTTTGGGGAAAACCTTTTCTTTCCCTCGCGCCTCTTCTCCTTTCACTTTACCTTTTGCATTCTCTTTCCTCTCTGGCTTCTTGAGCACGCCGATTTTCTTTGTCTTCTTGCTTCTGTTCATTTCCCACCTCCGTCTTCTCTGTTTCCGTCGCCATTCCCGGCAACTGGGTTCTGCTCCTTCCTTATCGCTCTTTCTTTTGTCAAAGGGGTACCAGGTACTTCGATTTCCATATTCTCTCTTTCTTCTCCAATCTTTCCCTCTTCGAGTCTTTCTGTTTTCTTGATGGCTAGAGAGAGTGGTGTCGGATCTTCCGCGCCTGCCAAGGGCAAAGGTAAGGTGCGCGGCAAGGCGGTGGCTACCGGAACGGCCGCCGCCGAAAAGAAGAAGGCGGAGAACCCGCCTAAGGATCTCGTCCCTAGCGTTCCTGGCTATGACTGGGTCAGGCGCGACATGGGGGAGTTCCAGAGCGTATTCAAGTCGGTTCTGGAGATTAATGCGATTCGAAGAACGCATAGGATTTGTGAACCTTTGGGAGGCCTCTGCCTTCCCCGCGCTGGGCGCGGGCCTAGGCGCGCTGGGCGTGTGGGACTCAAGGAGTCTCTGCCTAGCAAGCGCTGGGCGCAATTCTAAATTGCGCCAGGCGCGTGAGGGGTCACGCCTGAACCGTCGCAATGGTGTCTTTGCGGCAGTTCTAACCATCGCAATGTAGGTCATATAACTGTCACAAAATCGTCATTTTCTTGTAGTGTTTGAAGTAATAGATTAATAGTGATGCATATTGCATATTACATAATGTGGTTTTTGAGTCAAAAGATTTTTGGGGAAAAAAAAGAATTTAAAAAATATATATTTGAGAAATGACTTTTATATTAAGGATATTTTATAGAAAAAGAATGAGTTTTGAAATTTTGAAATGATGCACTTTATGTGAATTCTTTTCTTTAAGTTTATTATCTGAGACATTGGTGGTAAGA